TTATAAAGTAGAACTGTAGCACTCGAACCACACAGAACAGGTGACTTGTTTGACTTACATTATATCTGTTGTGATGACCTTTGTCAGTAGTGCTGTGCACTCGAGTCAGCGCTCTAGCCAACACAACTAGTAATGTTAAGCGTTGATCCTAGTGGTGACTCATTTTTCACGAACAAAGTCAACTAATTGACGGTTTGCTCGACCGGACCTGAATCATCATACGCCATAGATGCTGCGGGCTGTCAATCGACTGGATATTTGTAAACCTACTCCAAATCTGCACTTGTCAGCGACGATTACCAAGGCTGTCCTTCACCTGCTTGCATAGGCATCTCAATGACTGAAATCACTTTCGGGGCACCCATTTCCTTCTCGTCTTTGCAACGCCTAGATTGATGCGCAGAGGCGATCTAAAAACTAAAAGTGAGGTTGGAAGAATGCTCCTAGATAAACCAGTTCCTAATTATCCGATTCCAAACAGACGACTGCTTCTTCAAAAGACACTCATTATTCGACATATTGCGTAAAATCCCCCATTCAGATCGCGTTTATCCTAAATAATCCACTTGTACACTGTGGGTCTAGGGGACGTCTTAAACCATAATTCGAACTGTCAAACAAATTCAATGTAATATCTGTCTTATGATCGGGCATTCTCTTTTGATGCAATTTCTCGAGCAGTACTATTCACACTGGCTATGACTATTGTTTGTCTACCAGGCACAGTTCAATCGTCATGCCATTGAGATGACTGTTCACTCCATGCTTTGTACATTTTGTTACCTTCATGCCACCCGGGTAACCACTGACAGTTTGTCTTCCTCATGTGAATCATATCCCTTAACTGTCATGGTTTTCTTTGACTGTTTACCTGTTCCATGCCATGCGCTCGTTGCAATCTGGATATTTGATGACTGATTGCATACCTTCACTTTAAGCAATATCTTGGTATCGTTCTGTTCCGTTTTCTTACCTATCAAATTTGATCGTATGATAACCGTGAAACTCGCTAGGCCTCTTTTTCTTATCGCCCCACCTTGTTCCCAGCAGATCGTGAGACTGAGTCAACCGCTGCTTTGGCCAATGACCGCCCTTCACTACCGAGTTGGTGTGATTGGGGATCCCTATCCGTTAAACACCACCATCCCAGCACATTCATTGCAATTCTTTTGGTGATAACTGCGTGAGTGTCACTGCCAGAGGGTTTATGCCTCGTTCTCATACTTGTAACCGGATTGTCACCCAACTTGATGTATGCTATTTTGCTTGTAATTTATTCACGGATATAGTACACGTAGATCAGGAACAACCTATTTCGTGCTATTGGGTTTGGGGTTCGTAGCTGTGCTCTGCTCAATCATTAGATATCGTGAAAATGTTGATCGGTACATCCGGAAGAAAAGACATCCATGCTATTTTGAGCGTAGTCCTAAGACCATACCCATTTCAGCTGTTATAATTCATTCAACTTTCATTTGAAATTTCCAGGGACAAACATTTAAAAGACCATATGACAGCCTAGCCCATTAGTTGTTACATTGAAGAACAAATTGGATACAACCATGCTGATTTTATACTCACAAATATCACGGCCTTGTTATGACAAGGGACAACAGTTATAGACGGTAGTGTCCCTGAGAAAAATTCTTGGGATAGAAATTGAACACAAAGCTTTGTAACAGCGCAGTAGACACCATGTGTTTTTGGAAGAATTGTAATTAATAATACGGAAATAGTGTCTGTAACACAATACAGAGACATCGCAGATTTTGAAATTTTCTAATAACCTGAACTAATCAACTTGCAAAGAATCGTCTTATTCAAGGGATTGAACGTGCCTGCTTCAAGTTTCACCCCATCTAATAGCCTTTTCGTGAACGCGATTGAACGAAATTGATAATGGAATTACCCATCCCATGAAAACGCTTATAGTATAAGTCCTATTAACAATTTACAACAATATAACAATTTTATAACAATATATAACAATTAATTTTCTGGTCTCGGACGCCTTCAAAGATTCAGAGGAATTTTCTTCACGCAACGAAAAGTCAATAATCCTATGTTCAAAGGGAACACGATATTTCCTAACAATGTAATTTACTCCAATGAACCTCAGTGATAAACATGTCGTCGCTGCGCAATAATGTCACTAGCGAAAACATAAAAGGAGACATCTTCTGAGTTGATCAATGAAAATGGAGATTTGTTTCAATCGTTTTGTCCGTAACAAACCAACTGCTTGCTTTCACATGCATTTTTCTCCCGTTCCGGTGAAGGATTTGCGTACTGCGCAGAAAACTGGGTATCAATATTACTCGTGAAATAACAGAATATACGAAATTATCAAGTAAGCAGTGTAATGGATACGTGAACGATATCTGCGGCATCATTCGGTCCTCGTCCGAGAATGGATTCGAAGCCGTTGAACAAGTGAGTGGAATCGAACGAGTGCATAAAAATCGACGGTGTGGGCCATTTCGGTTGTTGAATCTTCGCTATGATCATCTTATAGCGGAATACAATGGAGTGCACTTCACGGATCGCTGTCAAACTTGCAATGGATATAAGGTGAGAATGTGTAAGGAGGATAGGGATTGGACCTCACTTGGGAGACGGGGAAAAAAAGCGAACTTCTATGGTCAACACACAGAGTACACAGTCCAAATCTGCATAAACATTATTTTAAGCATTTTGATCTGATAAGAAGTGACAACAAGAGCGCCACGGTTATCGGTTTGCTGCCATGAGCTTCAGTGTCTCCAGGCATCCAGTTACGGAGCTTTTTGGGCCCAAAACAAGACACCTACTCTGAGCACTTCTTTATACTTCGTCTGCACCTTGAAGCAGGAATAGGTTCTCCCAATCGTCGGTCTTTGCTGTTGTGGCCAGATCTGACGAATCGTGAATTATGACCGTATCTTTGTTCCGTTAGCAGTGGGAAAAGAGGTGATAGATAATTACAACGACTCAACTTCACATCTTTCCTATCACGGTCATGAGTGATTTCTCTCTTCAAGTCCGAGGCAGGATGAGTTCCGTGAACGAAATGTGCGTTCAAGCGACCACATGGTTCACTAATTTCGAAGTTTATCACATATGGGTCAGTAGCCGAGCGAACATCAAAAACTAACTGTCCCAGAGAAGGGGGCGCACCATTTAGCGGGGTCTACAGCATACCCGATAAAGCGAAAACAAAAGCTAACAATCTAGGTACGAAACTCGTCTTAGGCAGCCATGAATCGAGTCCCATCAACCTAGATACAATGCAATTTATTCAAATTTTGAATCCGAAAATCACAAATAGACAGTTAGTTGGATAAACTTCTCTATTATTTAACTGAATCTCAATGTGAAGCTGGACCAAATATTTTATTTAAACAACACCAAAATGGAGACCAGTTGTCCCTCATTACTATTTCCGGTGGAATTGATGATGAGTTATGCGGCGAGCGGGAGATTTCAATGTCTCAAATGAATTGTGAGGAAAGCGATCGATAGTAGCTTGGGCAAACCGCATCTGCAGGATCGCAATTAAGATTAACTTGAAATGGTGAGAAGAACCAATGCAAACGGGAAGACAAGATAGAGAGACCAAGGCAATTGCGGGAAAAAACTGATACTGGAGTGAGCAAACAGACGCAAATACTGGCGTGGGGAGTGATCAATAAGCAGAAATCATTGCCGCGTGCGACAGGAATGAGTGTCTAAACTCCGAATGGTGAATGGTTCAGCACAATGTTCGTAAGCGCCACATCTACGATTACGGAGAAAATCACCAGGATCGATCATGAACGTTTTGATCCATAACAAATAGAGTGCTTGGGTGAGTCACTATAACTCATCAGTGGCTTACGTTTGGAAATGATAAGAGAAAATCACGGAATACAATATGGTCTGACATCATTTACATGCATGGTGAGGATCGGTGGGCTGGAAGTANAGAAAAGAAGGTTGCAAAAAACAAGGCAAATGAATTATACACAGTTGAAGCATGACAACGAAAAACGGACAGCACTTTTGTTCGACTATTTCGACTCCGCCCCACCCACTCAACGTCTGCTTATTCCACACCGTGGTCTAACTTGGGATCCCTAAGCAGACACCAAAAATTAAGAGGAACACTGCAAAAAGAGTTGAATACATGGGATCAATAAGTATTATACTTGCTCGCGGTGTGCTTTTCAGGCGGGTCGGTAGACTGAATTGCAATGTGAAATGAATCAAGGCCGAAGCCGAGGAGGGAACGAGAGAAACAAAAAAAGTATGAAAAATAATCACTCACTTTGCTCGAACAAAGCCGCCATATTAGGTGAGGTAAATAAACATGATTACGGTGTCCAGAGAAAGGAAGTCGGGCGGGGGGGGAGGCGAGAGTGCGATAACGTTAAAAAAACGTTACACAAGTTGGAGAGAATGTGTGTATTGCATGATGATCAGGTAACGTATGCTGCAAATCTGCCAAAGGCACCATTGGGTTACGAGTGAGAGGGGTTGTGACAGGCATAAAGGAAAATCGCGAATGTGTGCGCGTCCTGGTACGATCCATTCGCATGCAATGTGTGGGGAAGTTGCAATGGAACCGAGCCGAGAACCGTGACGAAACAGCTTCTTCAGATGCGATTATACAAAAAAAGCGACAAAAGAATTGACTAACAGTAGGTGGGTCGGACGATGAGAGATTACTTATTCGGAGGGATATGGAGAGATTGCAAATCGGTAGCACAATTTAAATTGAACAAAAATTCAATCGCAAAAGGTTTCAAAAGAAACTCAGTAGTGCTATTGTTGTTGTTGTTGAGAGAAATGGAACCAGATGATCAAGTCAGAGGAAAACGAGGCTCGTGTGCGAACCNATGATGATCATGATGCCAGTGGTGGTAGAAAAGGCGATGAAACTGGTGTGGATAAGAATGATTAACTCTGACCATTATAAAGAAAAATCAGCGAACCCACTGGTAAATGGGTTGAATGTGTCTGTGTCGTTACCGACCGTGAGACTAGTACAATGTGACATCAATAAAACTAGTCGGAACGAAGCCATGCCGTGTGCCATCCTGTGAAACGACAGAGGTCCAGCCGGAATTGGATGAATCCAATTCTCGCACGTAAAACATTTCACCTGGTTTGGCGGCCAAATATGTGGATCCATTGCCTGTTGGTGAAAATGAAATCGATAGCAAAACAAATGGTATTAGGCTGGAACATTTGAGAAAAAAATACTGATCAAATTAGTTGTGATCCCGCTTGGTAACCGGGGGGATTCAGCCCATTTAGCCCATTCGATTGTTCAGAGGCCCCAGGCACCCTTGATGGTCTTGGGTGTGGGTTTCACTCCTTAGGAGATCGTTAATTTCCCACGAGGCAATGCATTTAAATGCGATGGAAATGTTCCTGATAACCGCCAAAGAGCACGGAGCAGCTGCTTCGTCCTGTTTGCGAATCCTCAGCAGGAGTGAAACCCGTACCCAAGACCATTAAGGATTCTCTATCTTCGGCTTGAATTTGCTTTCAGCATTCCAATATTCGTTCTGCTCCTTTTATCCAAACGGGGCACAAAAGACAGCAACCAAGACCGGAGCACGAAAGTGCATGTTTAATGGTTGCAGAAATTGAACTGAACTGACCAATAGTTCCTCTTAACGATTGAATGGGCTAATCCAAATTGATTGAGCGATTCGCACAAGGTGATGACCGTCGACCGTGTAGCTCAGGGGCATGGGTTTGAATTCTCGACCGGACGACTTGCGGTTAGAGCCCTAATAGGGGCACAAAAGTTCCCTTATCCGGCTCTGCTTCCGTCGGTTCGACCGTTCAAAATACACTTTGACCACATTTTGGTCACTTTTTTCACTCGAGTTCATCCTCGAATTCATTGAAGCGGCTTTGTTAGCCATTGTGATGTGGCAGGCGACAATGTACGTTATTTTTTCAAATGGAAACCGCCAGGCGAAATTCGGAACCACAGAAGATCCCCATAAGCACTCATTTTGTCTTTTGTCTGACTGACATTAGTCATCTTCATCAGGCTTTGAGTGCGAATGTTTTGCTTCGTTAATGTACTGCACTTATCAAGTATTGGTTGCGGAGTCTTAACCTCCCCAGTGTGTCCCAGTCGACGCATTTTCCAGTTGGTTACTCTCCCTTCAGGGAGTATATCTCAACAGAACTAGTGTTATTACCGAGGCAGCAGTTTGCTTGGATACTGTATTTCACACTGGTTTGGATTCAGACTGGGCGGGTGTGTATGTCAAACGAGTCACGCTAAAAGTGTCTCTGGACCAATGAAATCTGTTGTAATCACGGCTTGATGGAGCTGATTAAAAGCAACACCCCTTTCTTAACCCTAATGGTGCGGATGCGAGAACACGAGATAAGCGTGACAGATAGAATTACCAGTTTACTATAAGTGGCTTCTTGGAGAGGGTTTGTAGTCATTCGCGCAAACTTGTTCCGGGGTATCATCCATGGCGGTAAAACAGGTTGGATTGCTCAAACGTGTTTTTGGACTCAGAACAGACTCTTGCTCGGAATTTTATTTCAGTTCAGTTAGGCAGTATAGTTCGATGAAAGGTAATTAAGGGCAGCACAAAGCTTGACCTTCGTGTATACAAAATTTGACCACAAGGTTTGGTCATGTCCAGTAGACTAGGGAATCGATGTAGGGTTTATGAAGTTTGCTCATTATGCGTTAGAAATCTTACGGGTAGAGCGTCGTAGATGATTCTGGTAATTGTTGCTTTTTTTGGTTCTCGTAGTTCACGTGATCGGTTTGATGTCAGCAACCGCAATCCGAGCATCAATGACGCTATTATAAACTGGTTTGTTAAACGATAATCTTCACTTAAAACATCGCGGTGTGATCACATTTGGACGTTCGCTAAAGAACGAGTAGGAGCAAGGCAAGTAGAGTATCAAACAACGATTTTCGGAACCATCCAAGGCTATGGTAACGTATTCGGCGTCAAATTAACTGAAGAAGAAAAAACAGACAAAGTAACTCCACCAGCCTGTTTGTGTTTAGTCTTAGCAACAAAGCAGTATTACACATCTCTCTTCCTCGAGGTTAAATAAACGTCAGTTTGATACGAAAAAAACTGTGGTCTCTCCTACCCCGTTCCAATGCAATAAAACTGGGACAAGCCCCGAGTGAAAATATCACATGATCCCATATAGTCCTGATTCCCGTGACTAAATAAACAAACCGTTTTTTGTTTATACGTCCACCGCTGGTAGGTATTGGATTGAAATACCACCTCGCTCTTGGAAGACGTTGGGCGGAAGGTGTATGGGGGAAATATACATAACTGAGGCAGTGTTATGATTTCTTAAGCGGTGCCAGGATGAGGAAAATCGTTTATTACGAATAAATGTATTGATATCGATAAATTGGAATGCATAAAGCAAAATGTCTCATTTGGTACAAGCCTTCAGAATACCCACAAGCACACAGGATAACTGATGGAACAGTTCGATTGTAGATGCGCATTGTCCGCAGTAACCGCTTTGAGCACAGCAATTTGCTGTTCATTTCTGACCGTTTGAACAATTCACTGATCACGTTCTCTTGAGCAATTCAAACATACTACTACCTACGGACAATAGCTGTAATCCACCAAGCTTCCATCCGAAGTAGTCAGAATGCAAACAGATGAAGAATACACGGCGCTCAGGATTCTTTCAATTACAGTGAGTTGATGTTCTATTTCGAATGCACAGTTTTATTATGGTAAATACTTTGAAGGCATTCTTGATTTTGTCTCATAAGGTTTTCAGTATTGATGAGTCGATTATCCAGAAAAAGACGAAAGCTAATGAGAAGAATTATATGGTTTCATTAGTTTATGTATGCACTTCATGAATGTGCCAAACCTCTAGGCTACCTGAAAGAATCAATTACGGGCGCACGGACAATGTGGAACGGCAGGGAATCCCAAGTAATGGACATTTGGGCAGTAGACGAAAGTCAATATTTCAGTCGACATTTTTGAGGCACCAAATTGAAGGAGCGTCACTTAAATTGGGCGTTGGGGGACAACATGAGTAACGGACGACATAGACGGTTAAGGTTTTGCAGTATTTGCAATGCCAAAAAGCAAATCTTTTCGAGATCGGTGTTGCTAAGTGGAGTATAACCCCAATGATGAGTCTTTTCATGAAATCTTGAAATGCAGTCCATTGACCAACATCTTTTCGAATGTTCAGAAACATCACGATCACATTGCAGCCATGGAGTCAAAGCTTATATGATCTCCTCATCATTGACAGTATTTATTTATCGCTTTCGTATCATATAGGCTATATATATATATCGTTAGGGGGATGGGGTAAGATTTCAACACAAGTATGCGTGCAAGGCGCTCTGGACAAGGCCTGGCGACAAAAGAAATATTAATATCCTACAGTCCTTTATCTTGAAAATGGGAAAGACACAGGAGAAGAGAGAAGGGACGGATTACACATACCTTCATATTCATATTTCACCTTTGCATAGCCCACAAACGATGAGCTGGGTGAGTTCGCAGTGGGCTGTTCCGCAGAGGCCAAACCATCATTGACATCGACAGCGCCCTCGGGTTCCGAGTCGAATGACCCATCGGAATCAAAGTCATCCGTTCTGAAGACAAACAAAAATGAATTCAAATACATTGAGATGACAGTGGACAATGGGGTGTTGTTAGAGGTGCGAGTGAGCAGGCGTCAGAGCCAAATTGCCATCAAACCACAAAAGCAATGCGTTTATGGGATGCAATATTAGTTNTTACCTGACATCACTTGAGTATTGAAGAAAAACGCAAAAAACTAGTCACTACGGATCACTATAAGTGTAATTGTTTAACGCCTCCAGAAAAAAACTCTACGGCAGGATTTGCCATTCTCCACATCTTTCCAAAAAGCTGATCTCCACTTATCGGAATGCTTCATAAAAGGACAAACTGACCCGAGGAATCATCGCATTAATTTTATCAGTTGACTAAAGTGACACTCAGACAATTTCAGACAAAATCTGATGGTGGATCAAACTCTACCGTTTAATTGCGAGGCAGCTGAACAGTTTTTCAGGTGTTCATTGTTGACGGTACACGCAAACCCCTTGAGCAGAAATTTATGAAAATTAAACACTGATTGTAAAAATTGGTGGGTCTGAAAAGAAAACGGGGTCCACGAGGTGACGATACTGGTTGCGGTAAGGATCTGATGAAGGGTAGCGTTGGGGGGATACTGGATATAGCAGTTTGACTAAATGGTACGCAGATAAACTAAATTCAATGTTAAACAATCACGTCGGAATCATGAGTGCAGTATCAAAATATGTAGTCCAATTACCTTAGATTCATACTGTATTCATGGACTTCAGGCTGCAAGTATGCTATCGTGAGTAAATTCAACCAATCCCCACAAACCAAAGTTCCCGGAAGATATCAGAACTGTCATAGTAATTTAGTGATATCCTTCCATAATCAGTGCTGGGAGAGTAAACTTCGGTATGAATTATCAGTATTGATTCGGGATGGAAAGAGCTTATGCACCAATAATCATTCGAAACGCCCCACAAGGTGATCGATAGAAAACAAATAGAAATATTGTTACCCAGTTGGAACCACTGCAGTCCACGCGAAGTACGCTGAGGGATAATTAGATACACATCACGAAGATTGTTTAAAAAGCGGAAAAATGTGCAGTTACAATGGTAAAAGCGTATCAGATATGCACAGTGGGATGAAGATCCGACAGTCATAAATAAGGAAAAACGTTTCGACTATGTTCTGTGGACGCTGATGAAGAATGTGACCGTTCGGTTGTTCAAACATGAAAATACAATGATTTGATACGAGCAGCATACACGCTGCGAAGAACCCGATCAAAATAAAAACGCAGCAACACACGACCATCGGGGTTACTGGATGTGGCCAAAAATTAGGCATTCAGATGCTTCAAATGACAATTGAAAGCACAGACATTGTCACCTGACTTTAAATACTCTCCACTAATGATGGCCTCTCGTAAGCAACAGTGAAAGAATAATTCAATAATTAAACGGCATCTCACAGGAAAACAGACTGAGGTGTATAGATCCTGAAGTCGTAGCGCCACCAGATAACTAAGAAATAGTGTGAATAGAATGCCTGTCACCGCGAAGGGAATAAATGTAACGTACAAGCTTGTTGGCACGTACATTCAATCTCCTGTAAAGTCACGCTCTTGTAGGTTTGAAAAAATAAGTAGATTCCAGAAATAAAGACGTAGTACAATAATTACTAGCATGAAAAACAACTCGAGGTATTCGTAATGAAATAAACAACATCGGTGAAGGATACGTTACCAATGTCCATTATTTATAATTACCCACGGTTTTCAGTTCAGTCCACTCTGTACAACTATTAACCATACATTTTCGTGGGTAAGTTTGGTTGTTGTCTTTTGGCTACCCGTTTTGATAAAGGGATAGAAGGAAGATAGGAAAGTTGAGAGTAGAGCGGAAATGAAAAAGGAGAGTTTATATTTATTGAATATACAAATGTACAGTCAACTTTCAGGAAGAGGGCTGCGGCCAAACAAAGGCTGCCTGGGGAAAATACAGATATAGAGAAGACGGGCGGCGGTGGAGCGGTTTGAACCCCGGATATTCAGATCAGTAGTTTGTGACCTAACCACTTGGCAACGAAATTGAGAAGATACACGAGCGTCACTGTTTACGAGACTTAATCATGCCACCCTAACCACAATTTAGTTAAAGAGGAATTCAAATATTCATTCTCGCATAGTATTGAGGATTCGAAGAAACTGAAATATTTTATGATACTTTTAGCTTCACGTTCGAACAGTACACTCGGCATTCAGATGTCTCTCAGTTTCATGTGCCCACTTATCCAGAGACTCCAGTGTAATTGCCCTCGCGTTTCACGTCCTCGTCGTGCTCTCACCGGTGACCCGGACAGCCCAATTTCCCTATTTGCGATCTGATTAGACAGTTTCTTGTGACTGCAAAACCGGACACGAGACAGTCTGATTATAAGTTTGTAATGCTCTTATTGTTACTTGTGGTCAAGCCATATGCTGATGATACTCCTACAGTGCATGGTCGAAGATCATGGGATATTCTACAGACTCGAGGCGATCGGCAAGGTTTTCGTTAATGCTAGCTGGACAAACGTCACGATCCATTCGCAGCCGATTCATTCCATCGATCGATGAAAATACCCGCCAGTTCTTCCCCCGTCCCAAAGGAACCTTCGACTAAATAGACTGCTCTATCGCTGTCTCATCTTGAAAGGTGTCGGAGAACTTTATTCAAGTAGTACGATACTGTTATACTAATTGCTAAATCCGAGTTTGAGCTTTTGACTCTTTCGCCGAATCCACCAAGGAAAGCGGTGTTCGACAGGGTTACCTGTTCCACTTTTCTGTTCAATTTTGTAACGGATTTGACTCTTCCAACAGCCCTAGTGTGAGGAAAGCGCCATTAATACGTTTGCATGTGGCAGATTGTTTGATGTAGATTATGCAGATGACATTTTACCGCTAAGTAAAGATGCAGGTAGGTTGCGAAATTTTCTGGACGGTTTGAGTGCTGGTATAGCCATATTGGGTATCGTTTCGCATATTTAAAGCTCCCAACCCTACTCTAACTGAAGAATTAAATGGAAAAATTAAGCGAATTCAAGTTGCGTACTGAAAACAATCCATAGGTTCGTTATGCCAGCGTCGGTCGACATTAGTGCCACCATTACTAGTCATAACTTTATAGCGGCACGTGACAAGTTTAATGTCACTGAGCAGAAATGCATCGCTCGAACACGGGTAGAGGGCTTGTTCGACCCAGGTTGTGGTCGTTATGATGACGTTTGTCGAGTGACGTGCTTAACGTCGTCAGTGCTTTAGAAGGAACAATCGTGATTGCCGTTTACTTATGTGTACAGGCAGGTCAGTGCAATCGCCGATTGGACGATTTTACTCCCTACTTCCGGCTTAACAGGGTGCTAAGTCGCGGATATCGTCCAACCGTTTGTCAATCCTGGTCCATTGATTATAACGCAGTTTGGAGGTAGCCACACTGATTTGACATTCGAGAATGTTGTTATGACAACGGGCTTCTCAGTCGATTGTAAAATAGAGCGTCCCTGAGAAACAATCTTGTGGTTGATGTCGGACAGCAATATTTCGAACCACGCAGGAGTCGTCATACGTGGTTTCTTGGAAGAAAAATTCCGGGACAGGCGTTTGCCATCAATACCATGACAAGTGGTGAAATTTGAAACTTTCCAATCATGTTTTCGTGAAGCAGTAACGTGACCTCTTATTTGAATTGCTTGGCCCAAGAAACATTTGGCTCTTTGCCACCTCATGTTCATTATTTTTCCCTACGGTAGTTAAGCACATGCAAA